TTTAGATAAAAATTTTTCTCTAGGTAACTATGTTATCTTTTGTGCAAAATATATGACATTTATATTCAAAATATTCCTGGTCTTACAAGGAATCCAGCAATGTCAATTATATTATCCTAACTTTAATCTGAGGTATTATTTAATACTAAATGTTAAAAACTCTGGAAGGGAGGATTGGTGGGGGGTGGGGGGGAGGGTTGGGACTGACCGCGCGGTTGGAAGAGGGGGGGAGGCAAGGTGGGGTACTTTGATTGACAGATAGTGTCGTGAAGATTATTTTTTTTTTATTAACTGAAGATATTTGTTTTAGCTCATAAAATTCATACAAATTACCCGGTCAGAATATAATTTACATTGCTGGAATTCTTATAATTTGGTGATCATTTTGAATATAAACATCATATATTTTGCATTAAACATACAATTTTTAGATAAAAATTTTTCTCTAGGTAACTATGTTATCTTTTGTGCAAAATATATGACATTTATATTCAAAATATTCCTGGTCTTACAAGGAATCCAGCAATGTCAATTGTATTATCCTAACTTTAGTTTGAGGTATTATTTATTAAAATTTAGTGGTTTTCCCCCAAAAATTTCTCTGAGAGGGAAGAGCCAGTGAGTGTAGTGTGAGAAGAGGGGGAGGGAGTTGAGTCCATTATTTGAATGGACATTAACTTGGCGACTGTATTTCTCTATTTCTCTTAAGTATTAATTGTGTGCATGTACCATCATAAAATTAAGATGTTATTTTTACTACAACATAGGTATGTGCCTTCAAAAAGTGCAGTTTGGGGGTCGGGCCGGTTTCTATTGGAATTAATCCCATATGTTCTGTTGTTCACTTAACGCGGATTTCACTTAACGCGGGACCCTCTGGGTTCAATTGACCGCGTTAAGTGGGGTACAACTGTATTTTGCATTAGACATACAAATTTTAGATATAATGTTTACTCTGAGTAAATATGTTATCTTTTGTGCAAAATATATGACATTTATATTCAAAATATTCCTGGTTTTACAAGGAATCCAGCAATGTCAATTAAATTATCCTTAATCTGAGGTACTATTTAATACTAAATGTTAAAATCTAGTTTTTTCACCCAACCTTTCTCTTGAAGGGAGGGTTGGGACGGACCGACCATCTGGCATGGTTGGAAGAGGGGGGAGGCAAGGTGGGGTACTTTGATTGACAGATAGTGTCTTGAAGAATATTTTTTTTTTATTAACTGAAGATATTTGTTTTAGCTCATAAAATTCATACAAATTACCCGGCCATAATATAATTTACATTGCTGGAATTCTTACAATTTGATGATCATTTTGAATATAAACATCATAGATTTTGCATTAGACATACAAATTTTAGATATAATGTTTACTCTGAGTAAATATGTTATCTTTTGTGCAAAATATATGACATTTGTATTCAAAATATTCCTGGTCTTACAGGGAATCCAGCAATGTCAATTATATTATCCTAACTTTAGTTTGAGGTATTATTTATTACTATACCTGGTTTTCCCCCAAAAATTTCTCAGAGAGGGAAGAGCCAGCGAGTGTAGTGTGAGAAGAGGGGGAGGGAGTTGAGTCCATTATTTGAATGGACATTAACTTGGCGACTGTATTTCTCTATTTCTCTTAAGTATTAATTGTGTGCATGTACCATCATAAAATTAAGATGATATTTTTACTAGAACATAGGTATTGTGTTGGAAAAAGTGGAGTTTGGGGGTCAGCTGGTCTCTATTTCATTTAATCCCACATGTTATGTTATTCACTTTACGCGTTTCTCACTTTCCGTGGTACCCTGTGGGTTACATTAACCGCGTAAAGTGAGGGTTGACTGTAATTTCGAATTAGCCCGACTGCAAACCAAGGCAGACAAGCGCCAACACCGGAAAGATGCTGCCACCGCCCCTCCCATATGTACAACATCTGTGAACGATCATACCAGTCCCGTATTGGCTTCTTTAGTCACCTTAAAACTCACCAACGAAAGTAACATCCTTAATAACTCACATCATTGTCTCATAGCTGGATGATCATTGATATATATTACTGTACAAATAATTATATAAAGGAATAATTTATATTATTACAGCAACAACTGTATTTATTTACTTTAAATGTTGATTGTTTATATATAGACTCACTGTGGGGAGGTGGATTTATATGGAGACTCACTGTAAAGGGAGCAGGAAATAAACATGGGATTTAGAAGACTGTGCCTCAATCTCTCCTACATAAATAGTCTTAAGAAATGAACACACCACAATCGTCACACTCAATTCCTAGAGACAGCAAAGTAGTAGTTGTAGTTGTGGACGCGGGGACAGCGAGCCTTCTTCGACATCAGGATTTTTTATCCCATGGCCGCATGTCACCGTAACTTAGCTCTCGATGCTGCACACAGAAGGAACGAGAACGACAAGATAAGGGCATACGGGGAGAGATTTCAGAACGTTGATCAAGGCAGCTTCACTCCTCTGGTGTTCACAACCTCTGGTGGGATGGGACCAAGCAGCAGCCCAGAAGTTATGTTACAGCCTGGATGAGATATCGACTGTCTTTCTCTCTCCTTCGATCGGCTTTGCTCTGCCTCAGGGGAACGAGAGCTTCTGCCCCAAAGCTGACAACAGCTGCAGATATTGACTATGAGGCTACAGTCACTGAATGCCGCATAGACCTGCGTCTCAACTAATTCAACACAGCTAGGATAGCTACTTATGTATTACGATACTTAAAAATAAGGTAATAAAATGGTGGCGAAGGTGTAGTTATTGGGGGAGGCTGGAGGCCACGTATTAAAAAAAAAAAATAGTAGTAGTAGTAGTAGTAGTAGTAGTAGTAGTAGTAGTAGTAGTAGTAGTAGTAGTAGTAGTAGTAGTAGTATGTGTGTGTGTGTGTGTGTGTGTGTGTGTGTGTGTGTGTGTGTGTGTGTGTGAACAATGTTTGTAAATGAGTATAAGTATTTAAACTAGCATTTACCATCTTCATATGAAGAATTCTAGAATGTTTAGTGTATTTTTTCATTTCGTGGTTTGGTAGTACAGGTACAGGCATGGGGTGAGCATATCCCGTGTGTCAATTTTCACACACGTGCTCCATGTGGATGGTCCCATAGAACTTCATTAATTTCTAAACTGTGTGGGTCCGTACCGTATATCACGGCCTATAAGACGAAATTTGAACATTAAAAAAATCTGCCCAAAGTTAGGGGGTCGTCTAAACCACCAAGTTTAAAATTCTTACCTCTTAAATATTGTGGTTTAGTGTGTCAAGAGTGGTGATGAAAACATCGTAAGCCACTCACAAGGTCTTACCACTAATTATTTTATACTGAAACTTACGTTTGGCAAGCTGGATTCAAATTAAGATTACCGGTATATTAAAATAATAAAAATGTATTATAAACCTGTCTAACATACCGTAAAAGAGATTTATACCCCTATAATAAACACAGCTATCATCACACACCCCTCCCCACGCCCCCCCCCCCATTTGCCAGTGAGGAGCCGTGGAGGTGGTCAGTAATGCATACCGGTATCGGTATATTTACTCATAATAATATTTATCTCCTATAAATAATTGATTTAAATTTTATTTTTTTCCAAAGAATATTCAGTAAATGAGTGCATTAATTCTTGAAACTATCGACGGTTAATTACAGACGCTCAAGTGACGTCACTAGTGTTTACACTACACCAGCTGGTAATATTTGATGCCATTACTTGAAGTGAATTGGCCTTATTTTAAGTAACTAACTATAAATAAATACAAAAATTAAAAAAAAAGATCAAAACTGAGAAATAATATACTGTATGTATGTTGTGTTGTCAAAGTAAGAGGAACAATTGTGTAAGTACGTAATATTTTTTCACTCAAATCCTAATGAAACACTACTGGAGAACATTCCTTTGTCGCAAAACAGTTTATAAATTAAAGAAAATAATTACAGTGTGTTTAATATATTACAGTATATTATAAATAAATAAATAAAACAAATAATTCGGTAAATCTATTTAAAGTAAATGGAAAATAAGCAAACATGTTATTTACCAAGACCCTTCCGTCTGGCTCAGGGTGAGATGGAGGGGAGATAAAGAAGGCTATTTATAGCCCATCAGAAGTGACCAGTACCCTAATGCACCATAAATAATTCATTGAACATTCATTTTTTGTACATAGTATATTCAGTATATATATATATATATATATATATATATATATATATATATATATATATATATATATATATATATATATATATATATATATATATATATATATATATATATATATATATATATATATATATATATATATATATATATATATATATATATATATTTGTGTAATAAATGTATGTAGTAAGTACATACTGGTAACCTTTTTCACTCAAATCCTAATGAAACACCACAATTAGAATACGGTGGTTGCTGTTGAACCACATGTTGTATAAATAGTCACACCACCGAGACGAGGGAACACTCCCACCACGCTTCAGTGACGTCACTAGTGTTTACACTACACCAGCGGGTATAATTTGATGACATTACTTGAAGTGAATTGGCCTTATTTTAAAAAATCAAGGATGGTTGGTAAAGGACTACTGAGTCAGTGGGTAAGTGTCACATTTGGGGTACTGGTCTTATACAGCAAATAGAGCTCAAAAGCTACTTTTTAAATGGAAATTTGGGGGGGCGTCTTATGCACCCCGCCGCCTTATAGGCCGTGATATACGGTAAGCAAGAAAAAAAAAAAGCTCGTTTAGAAGCAGGCCTTACATCGGAATATGAGTGCTGCGGCTAGCCCACCCATAATTTTTCATTTGCGTATAAGTGGGTTATGCTTTGCAAATATTGAATAGGGGTGTTACAATATCAATTACGGATAAGCAGGGTTGTGAATATCGGGGTTACGAATAGCGAGGTATTCCTGTACAGTACTCTAACATTTTTACACAATGGAACTCACTCTGCAGTCAAATACATTACCTGGAGCTGTGTGAGGGTGTTTTCCTGTGTGAACATGAGGTGCTTCATCTTCTGTTGATACACACTGATCTCTTGCTGGTGCTTCTCCTCCGCTTCTCCAATTTCTACATCTTTGTGTCTGAGAATTTTGATATCTATTAGCTAATGTTTCAACATATAATATTGTATTTACTTGCACTATATTAATGTAAACTAAATAGATATCTCTAAACTAAAAATACAAATAGATTTGGCAGTTTTCATTTTCCTTCACATACGTATACTGTATAGTGAATACGCACACTACAGAATGAAACCTTATTCAAAACTCCTCACACACCATACGCATGGATGCCCCAACATCAACTCGGTCTAACACTACATTCATGAGCTTCATGCCCTTTCTATAGCTCTTTGAAGGAACAGATGCCATATCAGTGATGTTTGATGAGGGAGAGGATAAGCAGAGAACAAAGTGTGGAGAGACAGCTAGCGCACACCCAACCACAACAATAACAAACACCAGAGTGACCAAGCGTGAAGCGTGGCTCAGTAGTTACCATTTCCCAAGCGGGTAAATATGCCGAGATTTTTCCACGATAATTTTATATAACTTGGCATTTCCTGAGTTATTTATAATAAATTCCGAGAGTATAGCCGTGCTGAATTATATAAAATTCCGAGTTATCAATGGTTTACTGTACCTGAATCCTTTCCTCTATTTGTCATGACCACTAGCTTTTGCTCTCTGCTTCACTTACACTAGGTCACTAGGATGGACTTCCTTCTTCCAGTGACCACACATGGTACAAGCCATGGCGGCAGCTACTGATGCATGTACGACCTCCCTATCAGACTCGTCAGGTTCGCCGAGCACTATAGGGTACCTGGAGAGGGTGTCGGCTGCGCAGTTGTCTTTCCCTTGATGTGGAACGAATACATCAGCGTCTTCTCCTTTAGGTTGAGTATCCGTGGGTTAATGATGTCCTTGAGTTCCTTGTTCTTGAAGATCTTCGTCAGCGAGCGATGGTCAGTGGCCAAGGTGAGGTCCAGGCACCCGAGCAGGAACAGGTGGGCCTTCTTTAGGCACCAAGCAATGGCTAGTGCCTCGCCCTCCAGAGTGGAGTACAGTATAGTCACGATTTAAGAGGATTTCCTTTACACGTTTGGTCATTTACGCGGCACCTGGCCCGACCGGCAATTATTAGTTACGCGGTACATTCCATCATTTATGCGGGCAGTGGTGCAGGCAGAGTGTGCACAAGGTCGCCCAGTCGACAAAACATTACCAAGTTCTTCACCCGCCACCCACCACAGCCAGCCCAAGTCAGTGATAGTGATAGTGTGGATATGGACTTTGAGGGGTTTGACAAAGAGGCCCTGCAAGCCTCTGTGGTGGATAGTGATACAGGTGATACAAGTGATACAGGTGAGGGCCAATAATGTGACCTCTGCCTCGGAACCAACCCCCCATCCCCGTGTACCCAGCCATCTCTTCTACTAACGTAAGTGTTAAAAAACCTAATATTATTGATATTTTTCTTAAATATTAATTGTGTGTGCATACCATCATAAAATTAAGATGTTATTTTTACTACAACGTATGTATTGTGTCGGAAAAAGGGTAGTCTGGGGGTCGGCCCAGTCTGTATTTCAATTAATCCCATATGTTCTCTTATTTCGTTTATGCGTTTCTCATTTTACGCGGATCTCCACGGGTTTAATTGACCGCATAAACCAAGACTATACTGTAGTTTTTCTCAGCTGGTGTCAGGTGGCAACTGCCGCACAGAGTCAGCTTCCAGCCTCCCTTGCAACATAGGGGCGTCTCCGGCATCACGCACTGTCGGCTGTAGTCGGCGAGCGCTATGGTTGGCCACAACACGTCGTAATAACGCAGCCCCTCCACTGCTAGTTTACCCACCGCCTCCCTTGTCTCTTCGAAAATCGCCTGTAACTGGCTGTCCCAATATACTGTCTTGCTGGCGGGCTTCTTCAGAAAGTCGTGCAAGGGCTCCATCAGGGACGCGACAGCGATGAACAGGGCCAAACCAGGATTGTGTGTCGGTGTTTGAGGGCTTGGGCGGCACGCGGAATTCGGTGATGCTGCTGATGAGGTCCTGGCTTGGCTGGTAATCCTCCCAGTAGAGAAAGTACTGTAATCCGCGACCGTCATGCTCCTCCTGCAGAAGCGGAACTTGTCGGGCCTGAGAGTGACCCCACCCTTCACACATGTGTCAAGGAAATCGTACATGTGCCAGAATGTGTCGGCGATGCTGCGGTTGTATAACGTGTCGTCGACGCACTTCATTTTCCTTGGTACTTCCGCCACCATGTCGTTGAAGTGGTGGGGTATTGTTGTGGGCATGTGCACCGCATACGGTTTAAGTACAGGAGCAGGTGAATGTGGTGGGGAGGTCCTTGCATCTCAGGCACGGGGGTGCGGTTCACAGCGAATGCTGTACGCCCGAAGTGCTCAACATACCATTCCTCCAGCCTCTCCACATTCTCTTCTTTCAGCTTGCATGGGGGCGTCGTGGGTTGGGCAGGGGGGCTGGGCTCCTTTTCGATGAGTCCAGTGGCGCCGACTACTGTGGGTGCGCTGGGGAGGTCGTGCGGCACCAAGCTAAGCCCTCTGCACACAGGCAAAGACAGGTACAGAGATTGGACGCCTTTTGCAAAATACTGGCGCATTCCACGGTGACTTGGCACTCCTTGCTCCCGAGCATGTTCACGCCCCCTCAGGATACGTGGTTTACTGCGATGTGGGCCCCATCCAGGTGGTGTGGCTCTTGCCCAAGGGCGTGGACGTGTTACAGCCCGGCCAGACACACCTGTGCGCCAGTGTCTACTATGGCATGCAATTGCTGCGCCTCCTCCGCCCCACTGCAGCTGATTGACACCGTTAAACTGGCGATGTCCTTCGTCGGGCCCACGACCACAGCCATGCCCAAGGTGTTTGCGTGGGCGCTGGGTTGTACTGGTGACATGCAGACGTGTGCGAGGTGTCCCTCCAGGCTGCACTTGTAACAGGCTAAGTGCAGCGCGGGACACTTCTGGTTGCCAGCACACTTGCCACATCCGCAAGTTTGGCAACGTCGCTGAGGTCAGGCGCGAGGTGTACCGTGTTGCTAGGCGACGGTGTCTCCAGTTTAAAGTGGTGGGCTCCGGCGCCCGCCACTGCTCCCACACATGACATGGAAGCGGTTCTCTCCAATGACTCATACACTTCACATGCACTGATAATGTCGCCCATGTCTTTCAAAAGTGGGAGCTGGCACAACACTTTACTTTTCATACTGGGGTTGGCAAGCCCCATCACTAGTTTCTTTGCTAGCATGTAGTCGTCCAAGCTAGACTCACATGAAGGGGCACTGAAACCTGTACCCTGCAGCCTTCAACCTGCTCCTCACTACATACCTGGATACGTTGTCGCCGGGTTCTTGTGTGTATGTAAAAAGTCTGCCCACGCACCCACAATGCACTCTGGGCCTACAACAACACTTTCTACAGCCCTTATGGCTTCCTTCACCGTCAAGTTATCATAGACACACTTGTTCACTCGCGCATCAATGCACTGCTGCACCTCCGTGTCACACAGAAGGTGGGCGTAGCCTGCTGCCAGAGCATGTGGCCAGTTGCATCCGCAGCTGTAGTTGGCGAAGCTGAATGCCCAGGCTCTGAATTCGGTGGGAGACATGCCCATGGACACCTTGCCCGGGGCCGCCGGCGGGGCAGGTGGCTGCCCTGCTGCCTGGGCCTGCTGTGGAAGCGCAGGATACAGCAGGCCGGCTCCAACACCTTGTAAGCCGCCGTTGCTCTGTGGCGATGGTACTGGGTCAGCATTGACGACCATGTGTGGACTGCGTTCCTTGCCGCTCCAATGGTGCTAGCCTGGGAACGTCACTGTAGATGTGGGCGACGCTCCCTCCGGCCACCCGTAGAAGTACACTGTGCCATTTTAGGGTGCCAACCTGGGGGACAATGAAAGGCCGCGTCCATAGTCTGTTTATTAGCGAATGTGACAAGGGGGAATAAACATGACCACACTGCTTGGAGTCTGAGCCGGAACTGACAGTTGAACTTCCGCCATTGGCGGACCCATACACTGTTGCCAAACTGGCACATACCCCAACAAGAATGGAATTCCCATCACTATATCACATAGAAATATTTCGTTTAAGGATATCTTATTGGAAACGTTTTGTAGAGAATTTATTAAGGATCAATATGGTATCAAATTCATCTCCCTATCACAATTAGCCACGCTTGATTGAGGAAGGGGGGGTGAAAAGTGACTGTGCGACCCCCCCTCCCCCCACCCCCCAAAAAGGTTCATTTACCACACTCTTCAGCCACACCCCACCATCACAGCCTCCAACACCAGTCACATACCACTAACAGCAGAAATAAGGAGTGAGGGTCTAATTATGTGACAAATTTGCGTGTGTGTGACTGCGAGTTAAATATCAGCTGTTGAGGAGCGCTTTGCAACACTCATTTCCACTCCATCTCTCTAATCACCCACACCTTTCTGCTTTCTTACTCCATATTTTAAAATGTTATATAATGTAATGTTGAAGGAATACAACTTTGCTCATTTATACTTATACTTATCACAATCTCTCTAAAAATACTTTAGGTTTCGTGCTTATTCAAGACATCTTCAGGTCATGAGACCCACTAATCCCCCGGCCAAGAAAGGGTGACCTGACATTCCATCAGTAAGTCAGTAATATGAGACCACTAATTCCCCACCCTACCTCCACCTGACATTGTGTGAGGTCAGGTACACGAGACCCACTAATCCCCTACAGTTCCATGGGAGTGGAAAATACCAGTCTTTGCTGTAACACACAGTTTCATTCACGCCCATATCATATATATTTTTAAATTTCAAATATATTTATTTTACCAAGCTTTAAGATAAACTATTCTGGATTATTATAGTAAAAAAATGGAGTTTCTAACTTAATTAGAACTGCATTTATGGACTCCGGTAGTTTAGACTCAAGAAAAACATCCCCAGCACCCAGAAACATTCTGGGGAAGTGGGCTAGTGTCTGTGTGTGCAAGATGTCTAGTTTAGACACTCAGAAACTCTTCTCAGTAACCGGAAAATATTCCGGGGATAAGGAATTTTTCTGGGTTTGAGAAAGTCTCTTGGTTAGCCGGAAATCTTTCATCCCCGGAAGTGCTCTGCACCAATTGTTCCAACTAACAGGGATATCACTGTACCAGAAAAATTCCGGGGATGAGGGATTTTTTCTGGATTTGAAAGAGTTGCCTCGTTACCCGAAAATCTCTCATTCCTGGAAATGCTCTTCACCAATTGTTCCGGCTAACAGAGATATCACTGTATATAGACGCTTCAACAATAAAAGAAAAGCCAACCAGAAGTGTTTACATCAAGCCCTGCCACTTAAGAGTTACAGAACTTATTTAAAACAAGGAGGACGACGAGGCCGTGGGTGCATCAGTAGCTACCACCACGGCTTGTGCCGTGGAAGGCGAAGACACATTTGTTGTGGACCAGCATCTTCTGGAGGAAGAGGCCGGGCGTGACGACACTACATCCTTGACCACCGAAGGGTCAAGACGTACCTGGCGCTCCTCTCGGAGCAACCAGGTCAACTGTTATGTTGGCCCATACCAACTCCCTCCCCTGAACCCTTCTTCCCCACCGGAATATCAACAAGTTCTCGCCAGAAGTTACAATTTCATTTAGGAAAGGAATGGAACCAGTGTGAAACAGAGAACAGTGCTTAAGTCAGTGAGAACAACTCAACAGTAACAGTCGTACCCAAGTTAACCTTCACACAGTGAGGTCCCAGGTACCCAGTGATAACTGCCCGTGAGACCCAACAACAACCAGCGATGTGTTAATCCGTCTACGATAGGAAGGCCTGGGACCACACCTCACTCATATAACACCATCTGTGAGGGAATTACTACACCACGTCAGGCCCCTCATAACACCATATGTGAGGGAATTACTACACCACGTCAAGTCCCTCATATCACCATCTGTGAGGGAATTACTACACCATGTGAGGCCCCTCATAATACCATCTGTGAGGGAATTACTACACCACGTGAGGCCCCTCATAATACCATCTGTGAGGGAATTACTACACCACGTGGTCCCTCATAACACCATCTGTGCGGGAATTACTACACCACGTCATGTCGCTCATAACACCATCTGAGGGAACTACTACACCACATGAGGTCCCTCCTAACACCATCTGGGAGAGAGTTACTACACTACGTGTTTGCTGTTCATCACCTACATTAATCTGTATGTTCACTGTATGTTCCTTTACCTTTCTCTAATGAAGGTTTTTGTTAAACCACCAATGTATGTAATAAGTCATTTATGTCCAATGTATATTTTCAGCCTTCGAGCTGCAGAACTTTTTCAATAAACCGTTAATTATTATTATTATTATTATTATACAGGCTGCTACAAGCCCGAGTGTTGACCAGTGATTGGGCGGACTGCAAGAACGGCGAACCACTCGCTCTCCACCCCTACTACAAGATGCGACAGCACCTGTCAAGCCACGGAGACCTGGTCGCATCTGCCCATAATGAAGGACACCTACGGCTCATGATCCCCTCAGCCCTGAGACACGCAATGCTCAATAACCTACACGCAGGGCACCAGGGCTGAGGCTCCATGCTACGGCGGGCCAGGCAGTCAGTGTACTGGCCCGGCATAGACACGGAGGTAGAGCAGAAAAGGTGTCAGTGCCAGGTATGCGAGCCCCTGATACCCATGCCGCCACCGAAGTACCCATTCAAGCAGGTCATGGACTGATCGGTTCCAGCTGGATAGACACACGTACCTCCCATATGTGGACCGGCTCACGGGATGGCTGGAGGTGGAGCACCTACCGAGTGGCGCCACAAGCTGCAACCTGGTGTCTACCCCCAGGAGGTTTATCAAACAGTCTGGTATCTCTGAGGTTCTGTCGTGTGATGGAGGGACCAACTTGATGAGTGCTGAAATGTCAAAGTTCTTCAAAGACTGGTGTGCGATGCCTAGGGTATCGTCAGCACACTACCCACAGTCCAACGACCGGGTCGAGCTCGCTGTTTAGTCGGCCAAAAGATTACTGAAGGGCAATACAGGTCGAGGAGGCTCCTTAGACACGGACAAGGCCGCGAGGGCCCTGATGCAGTACCTGAACACACCACTGCAGGACTCCAACGCATCCCTGGCATAGTTCTTAATGGGGCAACAGCTGAGGGACTCGGTGCCCTGCGCTAGGCAGCACTACAACGTCAGTAGGTACTGAGGGAGGTCGCTGAGGAACAGGGAATGCGCAGTGGGGTGCACCAGTGAGAACATGTCGCGGAGGCTCAACCTGACCGCCCACAACCTCCTGCCACTCGCAGCGGGTCAGCGGGTATGAATCCGGAACCAGGAGTCAGGGCAGTGGGACTGGTCGGGGGTGGTGGTGGAGTCACCAGCCCCCAGACAGTACCTGATCCGCCTGGACGGCAGCGGACGAACGATGATCAGGAATCGCCGCCCACCGCCGCGCCCGAAGTCACCCCCGACATCACAACAGCACCCACGCCACCCGCCGAGAGGCCTGTGCTGACAAGGCGCGCTCCCAGGCACCTTCAGGATTATGTCTCTTAGAGGACCACTGCCCCCATATATCACCTTATGTGTTAGCATTTTGCTATAATGGGTCTATTTCTACTCTGTATCGGTTGTACAGTACAGTCAGTTCTGCTAAAACGCGATAGTTGTGTTCTTGTAAAACATCGTGTTATAGAAATTCGCGTAATAGAAATAACAGGGCATATGGAGAAAATAGGGTTAGGTGCAGATTACTCGAAATCGTAAAAAATTTAGTAGTTAGCCTAACACAAAGGTTAGCACAGTCAAAATAAATGTTACATTCATATCTAATACTGATATCATACAGTAAATGTAACCCTTTACCTTGAAAAAATATGAATATAACTTGATGGGGGAGAAGGGTGATTTTGAGGTTGATAACATCGAGCTTCACTTCAAGTATTATAGCCTTTCTTTTACGATCATCACCGGGAATGCGATCACCAGAACGCTTCTTGGAGATATTCTTCTTTTCCATATTCACAGTTAATACCACAAAATTGGAGAAATAGTAAGCAAAAATCATGTTACAGCAAACAAGCGTTCGCGTTTTACAAATATCGTTCCTCTATTCATAAATCGCGTTAGAGCCAATTCGCGTTATCAAAACACGCGTTATAGCAGAACTCACTGTATATTGAAAAGAGCCCTCGCTCATTTTGTATGTATTCAATTTGCAACTTTGTCACTTGTGTATCATTATGCTGGGTTTTGGATGGGTTCTTTGCACTAGATGGGGGGGGGGGTTGTTGGGGTGTGTGCCAGTTTAGCAACACTGTATTGGTCCCAACGGACACGGAGCTCAGTTCTGGATCAAATGTCTCACTGTGACGACATGTTTGCCCTCCCTCCCCCCCCCCCGTCACCTTCGCCAATAAATGGACTATAGATGCGACCTTTACTTATCCCCCGGGATGGCACCCAAACAATCAAAACAAGTTAATGTAGCTTAAAAATATGGAAAATATAAAACTACAGGTATAAAATAAAAAAATAAAAGGCATATGTGGGAAATTAATGTGTTATGGAGTGGGTTTTTCGTCATTTTTTGGCAATTTTGGCTTCCAGTAGTTCCCATAGGTGAATATTGCAGTTTTGGTTCTTCACAGGGTTTTCATTAACCTAACGCCCATGTTGTTTAACAGTTTATTGTACATCAAAATCAGAGAAAAATACATTCTTCGTAACCTCAGATTTCCAGTAACCAAATTTTCGTATTGGCGACTGCCTGTCTAACATAAAAATGTGAACTAAAAGAATAATTCTGCAAAGAAAAAATCAGTAAACTCCTGTGTTAAGGCCAACCACTACTGGCATGCATATATAGATTCAGAAAGGGCGGATAATAATGCAAGCAAAACCTTACAAGCCAATCAATTCATGACAAAAATAATCTTAATATTCAAGATAACACCTAGACTAGTCTTATGGTAAATGTCATAAATGAGGATGATACTTAGCTTCTGAAAAATAAAGTAGACCAAGAATGAGTACTGAAGATCAGTATGAACCTTTCGCATAAGCTGTTAGTTGGAAACTGAAGGTACAGCAATTTAAGTTAGCTTTCCTTGGACTTAAGAAGGTTCCTGGCGAACAGAACTTTGGCATGTTGATGAAGCAGTCATGTAGCTCTCATGAAACATGAGGAGTGGAAGGATAATTGGTCTACACAGAAGGAGTATAGGGGTAGGTACCCTATCAAATGACTCAAATTTTTAGATTAAATTTCATTAAGAACAAAAAGAATGACATTTACTGACACTTTAAACATATGTATACTGTAGTGCACTTACCGGAGTTCTGCACGCATATTATCTATGTTTTCTGCAGCAACTTGCCAGAGTCTCTGAACACGTTCCAACTCACTCTGAACATAGTTTCTCTCTTCTCTTTCTCTTTCCAGCTCACTACGAAGCCTAGTAAAAAGAGAAACTGTTAGAAACCTCAAAAGTACACCTTTTTTGCATAAAAAATTTAATACCCATAAACAATCCACTGGTTAATTGATAAGGCTCTCAGCTTCCAATCCATAAAGTAAAAAGTTGATCATGTGGCAAGTAAATCTTTCTCACCTAGAGGCAGGCACATGCAGAGGGGGGCTAACGAGGGTTGAGCCCCCGTTGATCCAGAAGTGCCCTATTTTTTTCCAAATAATTGATTAAATGTGTAGTTTTCAACATTTCAATTTCAGCTTAATAAAGCCAATTGCACTAATAAATAAAAAAAAAAAAAGCCATCAAGTGACTTCTAGTCTAGTTAAGAATTACCATGAATGAAGTCCCTTATTAGGATATTAAATAGTAATACTGTACTGTGTAGTAAATAACCAAACAATTCATAAGTTCACTAGTACAGTACTAAGTGGGTGGGGCTTAGGGGCAATCCTGATGTGTTGCAGTGCCACTAAGTCTCTCTCCTGTGAATGCATTTCAGTTGGACGTGAAACATTTGTGTCTGTTTGTGTTGTGGTTACACTGGCACCAGTGCTTCCCTTAATCTTTCCCACATTTCTCGTGAATTTCGTAAATCTTCAGCACCTAGATGTGAGTATCTGTGCATTAACATGTAGATACAGATATGGCATGTTATGCATTACAGTAATACCCCGCTTAACACGGTTTCACTTAGCGCGATTTCACGTATACGCGGTGCCTCGCCACAGCTGAACTTTCACTACGCGGGTTTTTTCCAGTATACGCGCAGAGTGTCCGGCTCAAGACGCTATTTTTAGATTCGCCCCACCCCCCACCCGCCACCCTGCCTGACTGCCTGCCTGTTTTAGCTCATAAAATTCATACAAATTACCCGGCCAGAATATAATTTACATTGCTGGAATTCTTACAATATGATGATCATTTTGAATATAAACATCATAGATTTTGCATTAGATATACAAATTTTAGATATAATGTTTACTCTGAGAAAATATGTTATCTTTTGTGCAAAATATATGACATTTATATTCAAAATATTCCTGGTCTTACAAGGAATCCAGCAATGTCAATTATATTATCAGAACTTTAATCTGAGGTATTATTTAATACTAAATGTTAAAATTTAGTTTTTTCACCCGACATCTCTTGAAGGGAGGATTGGTGGGGGGTGGGGGGGAGGGTTGGGACTGGCCACCACCTGGCATGGTTGGAAGAGGGAGGGAGGCAAGGTGGGGTACTTTGATTGACAGATAGTGTCGTGAAGAATATTTTTTTTTTTATTAACTGAGTCAGTGGGTAAGTGTCACATTTGGGGTACTGGTCTTATACAGCGAATAGAGCTCAAAAGCTACTTTTTAAATGGAAATTTGGGAGGGCCGTTTTATGCACCCAGACGCCTTATAGGCCGAGATATACGGTATGTTGTAGTAAAAATAACATCTAAATTTTATGATGGTATGCTCACACAATTAATATTTAAGAGAAATACAGTCACCAGGTTAATGTCCATTCAAATAATGGACTCAAATCCCTCCCCCCCCCTCTTCCCAGCTCACTAGCTCCTACCTCTCTGAGAAATGTTTGGGCGAAACCACTAGATTTTAACGTTTAGTAATAAATAATACCTCAGACTAAAGTTAGGATAATATAATTGACATTTCTGGATTCCTTGCAGGTCAGGAAATATTTTGAATGTAAACTTCATATATTTTGCACAAAAGATAAAATATTTGCTTTGTGTAAACCAAATTATTACATTAGATCTACAATTTGTATGTCTAATGCAAAATCCATGATGTTTATATTCAAAATGATCATCATATTGTAAGAATTCCAGCAATGGAAATTATATTCTGGCTGAGTAATTTGTATGAATTTTATGAGCTAAAACAAATATCTTCAGGTATTAAAAAAAATATATTCTTCACAACACTATCTGTCAATCAAAGTACCCCACCTTGCCTACCCCCCTCCTCACACTCACGCCAGCTGGGTCGGTTGGTCCCAACCCTCCCCTCCACCCCCCACCTTCCCTCCCTACCAGAGAAATGTTCGGGTGAAAAACTAGATTTTAACTTTTAGTAATAAATAATACCTCAGACTAAAGTTAGGATAATATAATTGACATTTCTGGATTCCTTGCAGGTCAGGGAATATTTTGAATGTAAACTTCATATATTTTGCACAAAAGATAAAATATTTGCTTTGTGTAAACCAAATTATTACATTAGATCTAAAATTTGTATGTCTAATGCAAAATCCATGATGTTTATATTCAAAATGATCATCATATTGTAAGAATTCCAGCAATGTAAATTATATTCTGGCCGGGTAATTTTTATGAATTTTATGAGCTAAAACAAATATCTTCAGTAAATAAACAAAGAAATATTCTTCAAGGACACTATCTGTCAATCAAAATACCCCACCTCCGCCCTCCCTCCCTTCCTACCCCCCACCCCCCTCCCTACCAGAGAAGCGATTGGGAGAAAACAGTATATTTACATTTTTAGTAATAAATAATAACCCAGACTAAAGGTAGGATAATATAATTGACATTTCTAGATTCCTTGCAGGTCAGGGAATATTTTGAATGTAAACTTCATATATTTTGCACAAACGATAAAATATTTGCTTTGTGTAAACCAAATTATTACATTAGATCTAAAATTTGTACCGTATATCTCGGCTTATAAGACGGAATTTGAACATTAAAAAAATCTGCCCAAAGTTAGGGGGTCGTCTAAACCACCAAGTATAAAATTCTTACCTCTTAAATATTGTGGTTTAGTGTGTACGGAGTGGTGATGGAAACATCGTAAGCCACTCACAAGGTCTTACCACTAATTATTTTATACTGAAACTTACGTTTGGCAAGCTGGATTCAAATTAAGATTACCGGTATATTAAAATAATAAAAATGTATTATAAACCTGTCTAACATACCGTAAAAGAGAATTATACCCCTGTAATAAACACAGCTATCATCACACACCCCTCCCCACGCCCCCCCCATTTGCCAGTGAGGAGACAAGAAAGGGAAAGTGACCGCGAGATTGGGCTATTTTTAGCCGTGGAGGTGGTCAGTAATGCATTATCGGTATATTTACTAATAATAATACTTCTCCTATAAATAATTAATTTAAAATTTATTTTTTTACAAGGAATATTCAGTAAATGACTGCATTAATTCTTGAAACTACTGACAATTAAATACAGACGCTTAAGTGACGTCACTAGTGTTTACACTACACCAGCTGGTAACATTCGATGCCATTACTTGAAGTGAATTGGCCTTATTTTAAGTAACTAACCATAAATAAATACAAAAAGTAAAAAAAAGATCAAAAGTGAGAAATAATATACAGTCAACCCTCACTTTACGCGGTCCCACATTCCGCGTTTCCACGTTTACACGGTGCCCTGCCAGAACCCAGGATGCTCACATTCCGCGGTGGGTGTACCCCTTTACACGGGTGAAGTATAATTTTTTTATTTAGCTCATAAAATTCATACAAATTATCCGGCCAGAATATAATTTACATTGCTGGAATTCTTACAATTTGATGATCATTTTGAATATAAACATCATAGATTTTGCATTAGACATACAAATTTTAGATATAATGTTTACTCTGAGTAAATATGTTATCTTTTGTGCAAAATATATGACATTTATATTCAAAATATTCCTGGTCTTACAAGGAATCCAGCAATGTCAATTATATTATCCTAACTTTAGTTTGAGGTATTATTTATTAAAATTTAGTGGTTTTCCCACACATCTCCTTGGGACGGTTGGTGGGGGGTGGGGGGAGGGAGGGACCGACCGACCATCTGTTACCCCGTGAAGAATATTTTTTTTTTTTATTAACTGAAGATATTTGTTTTAGCTCATAAAATTCATACAAATTACCCGGTCAGAATATAATTTACATTGCTGGAATTCTTATAATTTGATGATCATTTTGAATATAAACATCATATATTTTGCATTAGACATACAAATTTTAGATAAAATGTTTTCTCTAGTAAATATGTTATCTTTTGTGCAAAATATATGACATTTATATTCAAAATATTCCTGGTCTTACAAGGAATCCAGCAATGTCAATTATATTATCCTAACTTTAATCTGAGGTATTATTTAATACAAAATGTTAAAATTTATTTTTTTCACCCACTCTTTCTCTTGAAGGGAGGATTGGTGGGGGGTGGGGGGGAGGGTTGGGACTGACCGCGCGGTTGGAAGAGGGGGGGAGGCAAGGTGGGGTACTTTGATTGACAGATAGTGTCGTGAAGAATATTTTTTTTTTTATTAACTGAAGATATTTGTTTTAGCTCATAAAATTCATACAAATTACCCGGCCAGAATATAATTTACATTGCTGGAATTCTTATAATTTGGTGATCATTTTGAATATATACATCATATATTTTGCATTAGACATACAAATTTTAGATAAAATGTTTTCTCTAGTAAATATGTTATCTTTTGTGCAAAATATATGACATTTATTTTCAAAATATTCCTGGTCTTACAAGGAATCCAGCAATGTCAATTGTATTATCCTAACTTTAGTTTGAGGTATTATTTATTAAAATTTAGTGGCTTTCCCCCAAAAATTTCTCAGAGAGGGAAGAGCCAGCAGTGTAGTGTGAGAAGAGGGGGAGGGAGTTGAGTCCATTATTTGAATGGACATTAACTTGGCGACTGTATTTCTCTATTTCTCTTAAGTATTAATTGTGTGCATGTACCATCATAAAATTAAGATGTTATTTTTACTACAACATAGTTATGTGTCTTCAAAAAGTGGAGTTTGGGGGTCGGGCTGGTTTCTATTGGAATTAATCCCATATGTTCTGTTGTTCACTTAACGCGGATTTCACTTAACGCGGGACCCTCTGGGTTCTATTGACCGCGTTAAGTGGGGTACAACTGTATATGAATTTAGCTTCGGGTTTTTTGGGAGGCTCTAAAA